CTCGAGCCTGAAGCTGCCAATTCTTCCACGTCGACCGATAGTGGATTGGGCCCATTATGGTACTCTACCGTTCGCAGCATGGGAGCGTTTGTTGGTATTGCATTTGCAGTGGTGAGCCATCCTATACTGTCTCCCACCATCAAACAGTATGTACTGACTGTGTCAGCGCCGGATTCCCTGGCAATCCACGCTGCAAGTTGCTTTGACTCTGGCTCTGGCGAATCCTGTGCTGTGGTATATCATCGACCGATCTCTACCCGGCTTCGCCTTTTCAGCAGCTGTAAGCACCATCGGCACTTTGGTTATGTTGGTGGTGGACCCCGATTTCGTGCCAGTCCCAGCAATTCATCAGCCAATGGCGTCTGAACAGTTTGGTGTCTATACCTGGTTGGCGAGCATTCTGTTTTGCACCAGCCTTTGCTTTGGTGCGATTGGAAGGAGGCTACGATTGTGATCAATGACGACTGATCAACTCTACTTTTCTATTTCGAGAGATAACCTAGAATATATAATGCCCTTCAAAAGCCTCGATTGACACCCGTCCATCCTGGATTCTCAAGGTATGACTTGTAGAGATTGTTCGGCCATGAAGCTGCAGGGGCCTTGGCTGGATTCTGAATAGCTTGGTGAACGACGGCGTCCCCCAAGATCTTCTCGATCTCTAAACGTGGAAGTTTGGTCTCCAGAGTTTCCGCAAAGGCCACTGCGTCCAGGGCCGCCCGAGTTGCGGGACGAAAATCGATCAAGACACCCAACCTCACCAGCCTAGCCAATGGTGTGATGCGTTCTGCTATGCCTGGTGAAGTATGTAGAGCGATCGCCGTCCAGACCTCGTGCACCTCTGCTTCGGATTTCATCTGCTTGCGCAGGAAGTCCGCGGCAGCATCGGCGCCCTCGACCTCGAATCTTTGTGGGCCATTGTGCACCTCGGCGGTACCAATATCATGACATATGCATGCCACGAACAAGAGATCACTGTCTGCCCATTCACTCTTCTCCCGCTGAGCCAGCCAATTCGCCAACAAGTAGACCCGCAACGAGTGATGCACGATCGTCAGCGGCAGGGCAGCGGACGTCACCAGGTCGAACGCAGCGGCGCAAAGGGGGGAAGCGGGTACAAAGGCTTGCAACGATTGTGATCCCTTTGCTGCACTGTTATCAGAGGAATGCGACTGTGAGAGGGTTGTTTCAGGTGTCACACCTAGCGAGGGCTCTGCGCCGGGCGCTGCGGAACGGCCGCACATTGGCTGGTTTGAAGGAGAAGAGTGGCACGAGGGTGCACGAACTTGACAGTGGGAATGTTGCGTGTTGACGTAGCTGGTGTTTACAACAGACGCCTTTGGCACCACCAGATGTTGATTGTCAATATGCAAAATACCTGATGGATGGTGCACAACAATCAGGTTTTTCCATGGGTTATCCGGTGAGCCCACCCCAGGTGTTCGTAGACCATCATGCGCTCCATGATCTTGGTGTGCAGTTAGTCAGACCAGATGACCACTGAACGCGCCTGCGCGAGACATGAATGGCCAGGCGCGACGCGGTTGGGGGGATCGAGGGAGGTCTCAAACATGGGCTTGCTGATGCTTGGGTTCCCCCTGATTAAATCATGATGGGCGTATGATAGGCGTCGGGAGGACGGGCACTGGCGCCGAACTAATAGTGAAGCGGTAAGGTGTGTGGGCCACTAGACCTGCTTCAGGTGACGAATGTTGGCTCCAAATATAAAAAAAATGTGCCAAGCGAAGGGGGCCGCTATCAACAAGAGGAATGAATCCATGGTGCGAACACCCTGCGCTTTTTTGGCCCTGTTTGCGACGCCCTCACGCATACCTGACTATCCTACCCCTCTGACAAGAGACCGAACTCTCCCTCCTGACATTATTTGACGCCCTTTTTACACTCCTTCGCCGTTCCCGCTCGAGAGCTGGCTCTTGTGCGACGATCAACTTGTCTTGCTGCCCAACCCGACCCGCTCCTTCATAGTCTCTTTTTTTTTTTCGTGTTGATTGACTCGCAGCCCTGAACTTTTGAGAGGGGGGAATTTCCCTCACCACTTACGCAACAACACGCAAGATGGTTTCTTTTCAATGCGAGGTCAGCACCATGCGCAGCGGATCGTCACCCTTTGCGGTTTCTAACCATCCCGTCTACAGGCCTGTGGCGACGTCCTGACCAAGAAGAAACTCGATCCGCACCGCAATCAATGCCGGGGCGCCGTGTTTACCTGTATCGATTGCATGACGACTTTTCAAGGCACGAGCTACAGAGCACATACAGTATGTGAAACGCACAGGCACACTCTTCTTCAAACAGGGGAATCCTTTCTACATACACCGCGCCCGACTACGCAGAGCATCTTTTGACACTGACCGGGTTTGCCCCAAATAGTCATGTATCACCGAAGATCAGAAATACCAGGGCGCTTTATATCGCGAGAAGCCTTCCAAGGCCGCGAAACGAAAGTCGGTATCTATTGTCGAGCCAGAGAACGAAAAGGCTCTGGTGCCCCGTCCAGCATATGTTGAAGACGACTTCGATATAGATGCGCCTCCACACGTTCCCACTCCTCCTCCCGCCGTGCCGGACTCAAATCGTGATAGTGTCTTTGATTATATGGTCGATGAAGGCAGTCAAATAGGCACACCTCAGATAAGCTTCACAAAGGATAAGGAGGAAATGTCAATGAAGCAGACCGCTCCGTCAATTTTCTCCAGCAGTCGGCCATCCAGCCAAAATGGGTATCACAACGCAGAAGAGGAGGAGCGACATAGCAAGGAGTACGAAGAAAATGGCTATACTTGGGGTGCAGCACCAGTCAAGCCCCGAGGTGGGTTAGACATGAACAACAGCACACTGTCACTCGAATTCATGACCCCAGCAGCGAAGGAGACGAAATCCAAATTAGACAAAAAGGAAAGACCACGGGTGCATAGCCGGACGAACAGCGGCAGTGAAAAGAAGCGGAAGCGCGCCACGGATGATCAAGTCCACGAGCTGGAAGGGGACACCCTGATGGCCGACGCGGTGAAGGCGGACACACCAGTGATTGTGCACTCTGGACTCACGGGTGGGTTGAATCGAATGATGTCCCAAGATGAGTCGTACCCATTCCGTCGATCTCCTGATCCCAACGACAAACGCGTGGTAGTCCAGAAAGAGCGCACGACTCGTCGAAGCTTGAAACCAGAAGACCCCACATCTCCGTTAAAACGTACTCGACACACCAAGGAGGATTCCAACGGCCTTGGCATCTCGATCAAAGGTCGAGCAGTTCGAGCGCTTTCAATGGTGGGCGGAGCACTTCTTCCTAGCCAGGTCGAGAGCCAGATGGCCAACACCAAAACGCGGAGGAGAGCCAGCTCGTCGGACCAGGGGAACAGTCTCTCCCGAATCCGCGACGGCGAGAAGCGAGAGAGAAAAAAGCACAAGGTCCATCGACATAATGGTACTGCATCCGCCAATATTCGACATGAACACCGCTCGCGCCGCCGGTATAGTGACGAATCGCCTTCGCGATCGCCAGGCGAAGGCACGACACGCAAACTCAAAGCCATCGAGTACCACAAACACGACGAGTCTGGCTCTGACACGGACTCGGATCCCATGCACCAGCATAACAACGGTGCAGGCAGACGCAAAAGCACAAATGGTGCAATGGTCGTGTTCGGCGCAGAAGAAAAGACGAAACGTGCTTGCCGCAGTTTCCTCGCCAATGCACCAGGACTCGACTCAGACAAAGGATATTCCATTCACAAGATGCTCAAGCGATGGCATAAGCATAACGATGTCCGAAGCAACACTTCGAAGATAGAAGAGGAGCAGGACTTATGGCGGGCGTTGAGAATAAAGCGGAATGAGAAGGGCGAGTATGTGGTGTTTTTCTGAGCGAAATGCAGCACTCTTCTTTCTTGGATGTCTTTCTATTTGAAGGGGTTCCATGATGTATTAATGGGCTGGGTGCTTGCGCTTGTACTCTCCTCCTGGGTTATCTCCAAGGTCCCATTCCGAAAATGTGAGGGAGACTGATTTAATAATGACAGAACTCGGTACCGAGTGGCATAACAGAGAAGGCTTACTTGCTGTTCTTTGAGCGGCTGATCGCGAATGACAGCATAGAATGAGAACAGTATTCCCACAATTGAGACCGAGGTTTTGATTGAATTTATTTGTGTAGGACTGTACAAGTGTCCTGGAGCTGGACGCTGTAGATGCGAAGGGTTAATGCCGATGGGTTACGAATACTGATCCGTGGTCTGTGGCATGGTACCACCATGTCACAGTATGTATCAACCATGGGGTGGACTTCACTTTAAAGACTCAGCAGTTGTCGTGAGATCAACGAACACACCGACATGTCGCTGTCAATCATCTGCGGCCTTCAGGAGAAGTAAGTAAGGAGGGTTCTGCACCTCATACACCATTCGCCGTGTTCAACATGGGATGGGGAAAAGGCTTCAGCCTGAAACACATGCACCGGGTCCCAAGAGACCGTTTTGGGTTTAGATCATCGGTGGAACGGGGCGCAGAGCGAAAGCCAGAGAATCCAATGGTTCGTTGGCCACTATCAGGGGGAGGATTCGATCATGGCGTCCGGGGCTGCATACGGACAGGCAGTCAACCCGAAGGGTTAATCAGTGGGCATTGGCTGGGGACATTCTAGGCCTTGTGCTGGGCCTATGGGAGGCACCGGGTCGCCCGAGCTTGACACTCTAAGGGCAATAAGGGTAGCAAGAGCCAGCACCCAAGCCCTGTGGGTGGCTGTCTGCCCACAACCTACTCGGGAACTGTTATGTTGTTCGTGCTTGGAACATCCGTAAGCTGACCGAACCGCTCCCACTTCTCACCTTTCCCAAAAACTCGTATTTACACCTGAGCCAAACCCTCGTCCCTCCTTATTTTATTCCCACACCAAGACGAACCAGACACCATGCCATCCACGACATAGGTCAAAGTTCACCGTCCGTCTCCTACAACACTGGAGTCTCTCGTCCTCGACTATGGCCAAACCTCCGCTTCGGCCTCCAAAGGGCCGACGTGGAGGATCGAAACCAAAGACCGTCTTGACTTGGGCCATCTTCCTCCTCCTCATAGCTGCGGCTCACCCTCAATCTCTCCCGCCGTCCGACGCCCCTCAGAGGTTGGTGGCTTCGACGCAGAGCCTGCGCTCCGACTCGAGTCGACCGTCCGCTCCAGCTGGCCGCAGTCCAGCAGAGATCCCCCTACTCAAAAACGACATCACCACTGTCAAATTTCGAAGCACCGATGAAAACCCCGAAAACCACAAGCTCCGTGCCTTGGCTCCAGCCCACGACTCTCCGAGTAGTGGTGCTGTCAGAGCACCTCTTGCACAGTCTGACGAGTCCTTTTCCCAGGGGCTCTCTGCGCTTTCCTCAGCGCGGCTGCTGCAAGATTGGGAGGTGGAGAACATTGTCCTACTAGCCACCATTGATGGCACCATACACGCCCGTGACAGGAAGACCGGTAACGAGAGGTGGTCACTGGGCATTCCAGACAGTCCTATGATCCAGACCATCCACCACAAATTGAACCGAAGTGACCCAGAGGTGGACGGCTCTCAGTATGAGGACGACTACATGTTCATTGTCGAGCCCAGCAAAGATGGCAACCTCTACATCCAACACCGGGACCCAAGAATAGGGCTACAACGATTAGGAATCACCGTCAGATCCCTTGCAGCCGAAACGCCGCAGTTTGTCGATGATCCACCACTCGTGACCATTTCGTCCCAGGAGACAACGGCATACGTGGTAGATGCAGCCACTGGCCATATTTTACAACAATTTGACAAATACAGGGGCTTCTCCAATGACGACCAAGGTCGCAGCTGCCGGCGACTCAGTGGTTTCGAGTTGGATGACCCTGCATGTGATCCAATTGGAACTATCAACCTGGGAAGAGTCGAGTACACCATTGAGATATCCCACAAGATCACAACCCAACCTCTTTGCACCATCAAATTCGCAGAATGGGTTCCAAACAAAGGAGACAGCGATCTCCAAGACCAATATGTAGCTCCATTGGACAACTACCAAATCCAGAGCTATTACAACGGTCGAATCATTGGTATTGACAGCACTGCCGACTCGGGCAAGGTGCCTCGATTTACCCACATGTTTGAAACTCCTGTGGCCCGGGTTTTTGATGTCGTCCGTCCCCTGGACAATCGAGACGAATCGGCCAAGCTTGTCTTATTAGCACGACCTACGGATTCGCCTCTCCTGGCCTCTCCCGAAATCTGGAGAAACGAAATGCAACGTGCTGAGAGGGTGTTTGTAAACAAAACCGAGTCTGGGGTGTGGTACGCCATGTCCGAGTTGTCATATCCCGGCGTAACCAGCGGTGCATCGCCTGCAAGCTCGAACTGGAACTATGACAGTGAGCCGTTGGATTTTGACAGCAATCTGGAAGAAATTGTCGGTGTTCACGTACTTTCCACGGAACCGAACCTCACTCCCCTCAGGCTGACGATATCCGGTCCGCCGCCCGCGACAGATCTGGCTGAGGAGGCTGAGAAGGCAATGGCGGCATTGGAAGCTAAGATCCCGCCTTCTTTGGTACCTGTGATCAACCATCCATTGCTATCCGTCTTCAACATCATCTGTGCCAGCATTTTCTTATTTGTGGTTGGACTACAGATGAGGGTTCCGATCATGTTGAAGATGCAACGCTTCCTCCGAAAGGCAGGCGTAGAAGTCGCTGTGCAGAAAACTCGGGCTTCCGCGACCGCTACTCCCGCCACTCCAGTTAGCACAGACGCTCAAGTCACCGAGGTTCCAGGAGATAAAGATGCCGCTGAAGTTGTCTCTGAAATCCTAGGGGACGTAGTCAAAACACCTGTCAGGAGTCGGGCTCAGAGCACAGCAGTCTCGGGTGCCAGCCCTGCAAAGAACGTCAAGGTTTTTGAACCCAACGATGAGAGTTCCGAGGGGGAGTCAGAGGACGAAAAGAACAAGGAAGAGTCCAACCCTAGCGAAAACGCCGAGAATGGTGCACAGCCTCGCCGTCGACATGCCAAGAGAGGGAAGCGAGGAGGGAAAAGGAACAAAAAGAGTAAAAAGACAATGGATCCAGAAGCTATGGATGAGAAGGAACAACTCGTTGCCGAGATACCCACCAAGGATGGCCTGCTTCAGGTTGGCAAGCTCAGAATCGACACCAGGGAAGACCGATGTCTAGGCCGTGGAAGCAATGGCACTGCGGTGTTTCCTGGCTCACTGGACGGCAGGGAAGTCGCAGTCAAGCGTTTGATTCGTTCCTCAAACAGCCTCGCTGCCAAAGAGATCAAACACCTGCTGTCGAGCGACGAGAACCCACACGTCATCCGCTACTTCGGAAAGGAGGAGTCTCAACACTTTACCTACATTGCGCTTGAGCGCTTCACCACATCTTTGGATCAGTTCATTGAGCGACCCCTTCAGTACCCCGAACTAGTGAAGCTGCCCGAAGGCTTTGATGTCAAGGACACCCTACGCCAAATCACAGAGGGCGTCCAACATCTGCATTCACTCAAGTTGGTACATCGAGACATCAAGCCTCAGAACGTCCTGGTAAAGGCTGTTAAGAGCAATCGCCCTACCAATGGATTGCCGAAACTCCAATTCGTCATTTCTGACTTTGGCCTATGCAAGCCTCTCGAAGAAGGGCCGGAATCTACCTTCGCTCCGACTGCGAACCATACAGCCGCTGGCACAACAGGGTGGAGAGCGCCGGAGCTGCTCGTCGGCTCTAGATCGGCCGTTGCACCGACTTCCAGCTCGACTACCACTTCCAAATCCACAACGCACTCTAGCGAAGGTACTGTTCTTGATCGCCCGTCAGGCCGTCGTGCAACCAAGGCCATCGATATCTTTTCCCTGGGATGTGTCTTTTACTATGTCATGACCCAAGGCCGTCATCCCTTTGATGTTGGGGGCACCAGCCTTGGCCGAGATTTGAACATCAAAGAGAACAAGTTCAGCACCGAAGACCTGCGCTTGTACGAGTACCAATTCGACGCCGATGACCTTGTGATGCAAATGCTCAAACACAACCCCAAAGAGCGACCTGACACAGGGCAAGTACTTCGTCATCCCTATTTCTGGGATGTGGCCGATAAGCTGGAATTCCTCTGCGATGTATCTGACTGCTACGAGCGGGAGAAAAATTCCATCACCAACATCTTTGATGAGAGCGCGATCCGCACGGCCGCTGAGAAAGAATCTCTTGCCGAGCTCGCCGCCCTGGAATCTCTTGCGCCTAACGTCATCGGGCCATCTAAGGATTGGCTTCGGGCACTTCCAAAAACCTTTCTCACTGAAATGGGCAAACAGCGTAAATACAGCGGTTCCAAGATGATCGACCTATTGAGGGTCATTCGGAATAAGAAGAACCACTTCCATGACTTGCCAGAGGACGTGAAGGAGCAGATGCTCGGCGGCAGTGCAAAGGGCTACTATGAATTCTGGGCCAAGAGATTCCCAAGCCTGCTAATCAACTGCCATTGTCTGATTTTGGAACGCGGCTTGATCGAGCGGTTTCGAATGGAGAGGTGGTTCCTTGAGTGAGCCCAGGGGGATTTGAGTCTGGGTCAGGGGATATACTATACAGAAAATAGTCAAAATTTGAAGACATCTAGCCTGATTTTCTTCGGTTCGATTTGATTGTCTGTTCTGTCTACCGTCTACTGTCTACCTGAGAGCCCTCTCGTCCTTGTGACATGCTCCGTGATTGCAAAGGCAAAAAGCCTAGATACAGTACGACGTACCTGAACTCACAGCGACAGTCGCGAATCCCATCGTCTATCTAGCCAAATCCTGGTCATGAGAGGTGTCATTTTCTGAAATGATCTCTTCTCTTTGTTCCGTCCATTGTCTTCTCAGTCCATGTTATGTGTGTATTTATGTACGTATGTACATACGAAGATGCATACATTCATACGAACATACGTACAATACACATGTACATGTTTTTATGACTGCGATTGCGATTGCGACTCACCTAATCAATGAGGTTGAACTCGCACTCTCAGTCGAGGGTCGGAAAAACGAGCAAGACGGACTTTCATTCCCGGAGTGTCATCCCTTTGCAGAGTGGGTTGATTGGTTGGTCGGTTGATTGATCGAGTGAGTTATTGAGAGGGTCAGAGGGTGAGAGGATGGGTGAGTGGTACTGATGAGTGCTGAGTGCTTGATGGCTGATCGTGGGGTCTCGTCTCTTTCTTTCCAAGGCAGGTAGGTACATGTATACCTCAGGTGCCGAAACGTGCGCACGTTCGGATTGTGACATGCATGACATACAAAACATATCTAGGGGCTGATCTGGAATTTGGGGCTGAGTCGGAAACAGTACGAAGTACTGTCTCATGACACGACATGGCGCAGGTACTTGGGTCCTTGAAACGATCTGACCTGGTATGCGTTGGTCTGATATGTCCCGGGAGTTCGCCAGCCAGCCAATGCTCTACCGATCTCATCCGTTCGTGGTTCTTGGATTCGGTGGGTAGGTTGAAGAGAAGGACTGGATAGTTGAGTGGACAGGCAGGTAGGTATGTGTGTAGGTCGATAGGTGAACGGATGGATGAGACTGGCTCGCCCTCAAGACATGTCCAGGCAAGTAATTTCGATCATGGCAATGAGTTTCGTCAATCATTGGATGTGCCGCGTTCGTGGTAAACGTCATTCAGCTTTTGTATGGCAGTGACGTGCCATTTAGTTCTTCGTTCTCGGTTTGGTCACACGAGGTTGATACACACGCCGTTACAGCGCGTGGAATCGCATCCATCTCATTTCCTTGCGATGTGTCTTCTGCGATCTTCCATTCGCCATCTGTCTTTTGCAGTACTCATTCACTCTTACATCCGCTCCCTCCTCCGAGGCGCTGCCCTAATGATATCGTCTACCCGCAGCAATAGCTCTGCCGCCTCGCTCGCGCTCCCTACCACCGCTTTCTTCAGCTTGTAACTCTCGATCACACCCAACTCTCGCATATCGGCGATGCCACCACCCGGGGTCAATAGATCCAAGCCCGAACTCGTCATACCTCTATACACCTCGCTTCTCAACTCTGACACGAGAGCGGAAGAATCGAGGCCGGCATTGTCCGCAAGGATGGTCGGGAGTTGACGTAGGGCGGTCGAGAATGAATCGACAGCCAGTCGCTTTTTCCCAGGGACCTTCTGCGCAAGGGAATCCACCGCTTTTGCCATCACCATTTCGGAAGAGCCGCCCCCGAGAACGACGCGGGGTTCTTTGATAGTTTGTGACAGAACGGCAAGAGCATCGTGTAGACTTCGCTCCGCTTCGTCCAGAAGTTGTTCTGTCGCGCCCCTGAGCACGATAGTGCAAGCTTGGCCTGCTGCCACACCGGAGAATTTGATCAATGTATCTTCACCGATAATAATCTCTTCAATCAAGTCGCAGTGCCCGAGCTTGACAGACTCCGGATGGTCAAAAGTGCTCGCAATCTCCCCACCAGTGACCAAAGCGAGACGTTCCACGCCGTCGAAATCGGCATGTTCGATGGACATGATTCCGGCTTCCGTGAACAGTTGCTCCGGCCAGTTATAGATCAATTGTCTGTTGATGAAGCAGTTGATTCCATGTGCTTTGATCCGTTCGACCTTCGCACGCATTCTCTCGCGCTCGGCTTTTTCCAACTCAGCCAGTTCTTTTGTCGAACCGACTTTCATGCGCGCAGCCCAAATTTTCACTTTATCCGTGTCCATTGCAGTATTCGCCACGAGTATTTTGGCATTTTCCAATCTCTTGGGTTGGTTGACACCAATACGTTTGTCGAGAATGAACCCTTCGTCGAGGTAAGAATCGGACAGTTTCCCTCCTGATTTCTTGATGATTTGGATGTGATTCAGATCGACAGACCCTCTGAGCCGGAGGACGGCGTCGACCGCCAAATTAGCAAATTGATCACGATCCTGAGAAAGGACCTTTGAGGACAGCGTTGTACGAGCGATTGCCAGGAGGTCTTTTCGGAAAAGCTCGGGTTGCTTGGAATTGTCGACAGCGGATTTTTCGAGTGCTTGCAAAGCTGCTTGTGATGCTAGACGGTAGCCTTCAATAATGGTTTGGGGGTGAATATGACGGTTTACTAGTTGTTCTGCCTCTCGAAGCAATTCTGCCGCCAGGACTGTAACCGATGTAGTGCCATCTCCTACTTCATCGTCTTGGACTTTAGAGATGTTGACGAGGACCTTTGCGGCGGCGTTGTCGAGGGCAATGGATTTGAGGATGGTGGCGCCGTCATTCGTTACCATAATCTCCCCGGTCGAAGCAGACTGAAGAATCTTGTCCATACCCTTCGGGCCGAGCGTGGATTTCACGAGGTCCCCAACTGCGATGGCACCGACGAAGGCGGAGAGACGCGCATTTTCACCCTTTTCTTCCTGCACATCGTCAGCAAAGATTTGTGTTGGATTATTGTATGCTGCCATGATGGCTTCTCTCGGTGTCCTCCTCTTCTTTGCTGGTGCTCCGGAAGGGATTGATGTGACAGGTAAAACGCAGTCCTGCGCAGATACAGCGAGTCGAAATTTTGAAGACTGCGGGGAGAATCAGGTCAGGCAAGGACAAGGCTGCGGCTTGGCAAGGCTAGACGGTATCTTACCTTGCCATGCTTGCGTGCTTACTTGTCACCATCATGAATCTGCATATCTTGGACAGCATCGCTGGGCAGTGATACAGGTATCCTAGTCCCACCACTTGTCAGACTTCACGACAGTATCAATCGCCGCAAATACACAGAAGTGCAAGAGACGAACGTTAGGCCTCCTTGGATGACAACCTCCATACTAACCTCTGCCACGTTTAATCCTTGTTCAACAATGACCAATTTCTCCTGCTACTACATAGCCAGCAAAACTAGATGTCTGTCCTGCTTTCCATACGAACACTGAAGACCTCAGCACCATCCGAAAATGGGCAATTGCATGTCATGTTCTCCAAACGAGGAAGACGTACGGATAGCAGAGTGTTACGTCCACGCTCAGAGATATCAACAACCATTTCACTCTAGCCACGGTCCAGTCACTGATGACAGGTCGTACCGCTCTCTCTGCCCGCATACTAATTCTTCCAATACGAGCGGTTCAAGACCACGGCATTATTAGTTCTGGTGCTGCGACTCAGACTTGTCGAGGCATGTCAAGAAGTAACGCTTCGACCTCAACACTCAGGCTCGGACGACCGAATCCAGGAGGGAAAATGGCAATCACTACCTACCGATGATTCTACAGGGCCTCAGCTCCGATTCACTGCCAGAACTAGATGGGCATGACGGAGGCTGGTCTCAACGCCTACGCAACTGGGGCTGTCTTTTTCATCCCTTGTTGGCGGTCATCATTACCACCAGGGGGAACAGCGTACGATGCGTATGAAGCGGTCCCTATGGACCAAGAGGGATTTGATAGAGATGAGTTTTCATCAAGCTGCCGTCTGAACACTTTCTATGGAGCCTGATGGCATCATATCAACTCATCGGTACAAGGGAAAAAAAGGGGATTGGGTACAAAACGGCGTCAATTTTCTCCTCAATGCGGGCTTAACTTCACGCTGGTTTGAATTGTCTTGGCATTTAGGACCCCTGTTTGCCCTGTTCAGCCTCTCGCCATCTTTCCTCGCTAGAACCATATCAGGGACATGGATAGTGGTTCTCAAAGTAGCTACATTTAACATGAGTAGCTCCTGCTTGACGGATTCCGACTTCTATTGTCTTCATACATAATGTTTGAACGCACTCCCTTCGACTAGAGCCACTGATGCATTTAATCCGTTTGCCCCTTCAGTTGCAAAAGAGCGTATTCAACCAGCCACGCAAATGGGTCGACAGTCACATATTGCTCGTCTAGCCTTGGTAAGAGATCATGCGGTGTGAAGAGCTTCCGGGAAGCCGAAATACCCCCTTCTCATAACACTTTAACCACTTTTGCCATGGATACAATCAAGTTGCATCTAAACAACTGACAGTTGATATTAGGGACGATCTCCTTTCGGACCTCCGCTGGAAGATGAGAATGGGGAGTTCATCCTTGGACCGAACGTGCAGCGTCGAACAGACCACAACTATATTCAACAATTCGATGATCGAGGTCATCCAAGAAATCCTGCTTCCGAGACGTTGAGGAGACGACTGCTTCGAGCCCAAAATGAAGCCCTGTCCACAGTCGGTGTCGTTGTTCGCAAAGCACAAATGCAGCGATCTCGGTGGCAATCGATGAATGATGCGCAGCGATATCGACTTCTCCTAGACGAGCATGCTACTGGCGCTTACTGCGAGATCGTCGAGACTGTTGTTCAAAATGTTGCTACCCACTGGATAGTCAACTTTCGCCGGCGTCTTCTGGTAAGTAAACCAACCAACTACCCACTTCGCCGCAGCTGACGTGCCCAGACTTTCAAGTCCTACTTAGGATTGCCTGTTCCACAGATGCTCTTCTCGGAATGGAGTATCATGGGGCCGAGCACTTTCCTGTTTGCTGGCTTCGTCCCTGGCACAATTGCGAGGATCAGCCAATTGCTCAGAATTGCGATACTAGAGGATGATAGAGTTTCGAGGCCAGCACGCTCAGCTTCAGCTCTAGGATTATCAAATATCAGCAGGATAATTCGCCGGTCAAGGTGAGCAATCCTGCGGCTTTGACGACTTTTCACTGACTTTAGGTAGCTTACAAGTCCTATGGTTTGCCTTCGAGTACCCGTTCTACGCCTATTCCATCTTACAATCGCTCAACCTCATCCCGCTTCACCCTGCGCCCTCCTGGACTGCCTTGGTACCCTTCAGTGGTCAGTCCCCTGTTAGCATGTCGCCCGGCGTGTCAGACTGGTCCTGGAGAGCCTTGATCCCATCACTGGTGAAGATAATTTCCAGCCCTTTTGTCTTAGCTTTCATCAGAGACCTGCTTGGCAACTATCTCTTCAAAAAGGTCTATGTTCTGGTCCGCCAAATGGTAGCGAAGCCCGACCGGCCAGATCGCATATCGCTACAAAGTGCCAGAAATCTGAACCTTGAGACTGCTTCTATTGAACTGGAAGAGGCTATTTTCGGTGAATCGGGTGGATCGAGCCCACGGTCCATGAGAGACACTATTCAGGCAATAATTCCAGCCTCTTTATGGTTTTGGGTCCGGATCATTCAGACACAAAGAGTTCCCTTGGCAGTCGAATTGAGCCCAAATATTGAAAGGGAGTTACTAGGACGGAGTGCCATGCACTACCGAGCATTATATCGACAGAATCGTGAACTTGATCTCAGACGAGCCCCAAGAACCCTTCGAGTCATGGCTATACGTTCTGCCTTTCACGACTTCAACTTGGATCCGGATCACTCGATGATTGACATATTCGAGTTGGCCGACGATGTGAGCTTCCGAGCGTCGAGTCCAGCATCTACCTCGACACCAGACCCCCAAGATGGACCACTCCTCACGGAATTGGAGACAGGCCTCGGCACTGCGCACGAGGCTCAAGACAATGCTGAACGTGAGATTGAGCTAGGAGAGGGACAATTCGGCGATGATCAGATTGTAGAAAATGCAAACGATGAAGATCTCCTTGACTGGAGCGATCCGCACCAAGAGACCGGCGATTCTCCCTATCCTCTCCCGTCTTCAGACAGTCCAGCGGTGGATACGGAGGGTCTACAGCCTGCCGTTCCATTGGAGACCCTTCTTGAGCCTGGTCTACCGGACACTACGAATTCCGGAGAGCGACAAACAGCCAGCCCGGTTCCAGCTACGCCGGATGCGGGATCTCCAATTCCTCCGATTCCATCCTCCGGCTCTCCTCTACAGCGGACTCCGTCTCCTATTTCCCCTGTCCCGGGCATATCTCGTGCGGCGAGTTTACCCCACACAACACCACGGCCTGTGCGCCGTCCGACCGTCATAGAACAAGACGCACCAACGATGGGAGACGAGATGCTGCAACGTCGTCAATCGCAATCGAGAGATCCGGGTAATACCGACGAGAGTCTTTATCGCGTGACTATCCTGTCCAATCACCCGGCTGAAGCTTTCGCACATTACACGACCTCGATCATTGAGTCTATTGTCCTGCTCCCGCTTGACATCCTGTTCTTAAGGTCACTAGCTCGAGGGTTCCTCTCTCACCAATCTGCAGATCAACAAAGGGCCACGACTTCCTCATTGCTTGGAGATGTATGGCCTCCCACTTCGGGAATGAGGGTGCGAGACCTTTCCATGATGCAAAGATGGCAATTCTGGGGTAATTGGGCCCTCACGATCGGCATGCAAGGCCTGGTAAATTTTGTGATATGGGGAATTGGCGCTCGGATAACAATGAGACTGGGTGAGAGATTCGGCTGGGGAAACATATGAGGTCTAATTGGAATCGAGCCGATGGGCAGTTGAAAAGTGTTTCGTAAAATGTACTCAAAAGATACCCGGCCACTTGGTCATGCGAGAAGTCGATTTGACTTCCTTCTAAGGAGGAAGAAACCCGGCTCTAGAGAATATGCTCGCCTCCCTGTCGACTGCTGTCAGGTCGTAGGTTGGCCTAATATGTAGAATCAAGTTTATCGCCTAGTGCTTTGATCCTGTCCTGAGGAGGAACGCAGAGCCGCGAGGCTGAAATCCAACCAATCACTTGCCGGAAGGCTTCTCCGCGTCGAATTATTGCGCAGTTGCAATTTTCTGAACGCTTGACTGATTGTAGCAACCACATTCTACCAGAAAAAGAGCGCTCAATTTCGATGTCAAAACGAAAATCAGAAGAGCCCTTGGAGGCCGTTCTCGTCAGTGCATCCCCGGCAAGCAAGAAAGCGCGTGTTGAAGATGTACTAGAGGAAGAGCCCCGTGCGCATGGTGATCTAGATACTTCTCAAAGCCGAGACGCCCAACCTACAAATGGCGCCGATGTCTTTGAGAAGATGACAGGGGACCAAGGGGAGGAAGAAGAAGTCGAATCAGATGTGGAAGACGATCGGTTACCGGTTGCGCCCCTGCGACAAAATGCTCCCGCAGAAGGCTACGACGATCTCTATCTTGACACCATCAATCGATCCTTGCTCGATTTCGACTTTGAGAAACTCTGCTCCGTTACCCTCTCCAACATCAATGTCTACGCCTGCCTGGTGTGCGGCAAATACTTCCAAGGGCGAGGCCCAAAGTCTCACGCCTATCTGCACGCGCTCGAAGTCGATCATCATGTCTTCATCAACATGGAAACGAAGAAGGTCTACGTCCTACCCGAGGGCTATGAGGTGCACAACAAGAGTTTGGACGATATCAAGTACGTGGTGGATCCAAAATACACGGAAGAGGAGGTCAAAATGCTAGACAAGGATCCGAAGGAGTCAACAGACCTTGCCCACAAGAGGTACAGGCCAGGTTTTATGGGAATGAACAACATCAAAGCCAACGACTATCTCAATGTTGTTGTGCAGGCGTTGGCACATATCTCGCCCTTGAGGGATTTCTTCCTCCTGCAAGAGTTTCCACACACGGCGTCGCAGTTACCAGTGCGCTTCAGCACGCTGGTCCGCAAGCTTTGGAACCCAAGGGCGTTTCGATCTCACGTCTCGCCGCACGAACTATTGCAGGAGATTGCCCTGCGATCGTCGAAAAGATTTACTCTGACACACCAATCTGATCCTGTGGATTTGCTCGCGTGGCTCCTCAACAACCTGCACAGTACGTTAGGAGGTTCACGCAAGGCGCTTTCATCACCCATCTACAAGTGTTTTCAAGGGAAATTGCGCGTTGAGTCACAAGAAATCACAGCGAAATCCGATACGACGGGCGATCGACTCAGATTTGAAGAGTCGTCTAACATCAAGACGGACATGCATCCGTTCCTCATCTTGACGCTAGATCTCCCTCCAGTGCCGCTCTTTCGAGATGCGGTCGAATCCAAGAATATCATCCCTCAAGTCCCTCTGACCACCCTGTTACAGAAATACAACGGGCTGAATGCCATGGAGAGAGCGGCTCATCGACTGCGACATCGACTTCTACACCCGCTTCCGCCCTACCTTCTATTCCATATCAAGCGATTCAGTCGGAATAAATTTGTTTCCGAGAGGAACCCGACCATTGTGACATTTCCTTCTCCTCGAGGGCTGGACATGTCACCTTACGTCGAACCTAATCCGGCGGTCCACCCACCCGGGGAGCCAATCCTTTACGACATGGTTGCAAACATTATTTTGGATACGACATCGATTTCTAGTGCTGGTGGTGAAGATACTAATGCCGCCGACGCCGCGAACAAAGCTGCTGGGGCCGAGGGTCAGAAAGTGGCATGGAAGGTTCAACTGAGGGACAAGGCTGTTGCATATGCTCAGCGAACTGATCTCCCGGAATGGCTGGAAATACAAGATCTCTGGCTCGAACGAGCAGAATCTGAAACGCTTTTCACGAGAGAGGGTTACCTGATGGTATGGGAACGACGGAGAGAAAAAAAGAAGGCCAAGGCAACGAATGGAGTGAAAGCAACTCAGAGTTGAACCACGACAGTCTTGATTTGAGAGATTTTATCAGCTCCCAGTTTTATTTTATTCCAAAAGGAAACGACATGTCCGACTTTAGGTGCATGTAGCTTGTCGTAGCTAATTACTTCTGGCCAGCGGTGAGATCCGCGATTTCGTGACCTGCGGTGGAGCGGCAGAAGAGGATCAAACGGCGATCTAGTCTATTCGCAGCTCTTATCGACCTCTCTTCATTTCGACACCATCAAGCAAATCTCGTCATTGCATCTCATGTGCTTATAAGTGAAGGTGTCGACGTTGGCTGAAAGTCATGAAGCTAGTCCAACGCTTTGCATTGGCTTTGCTCCCAGTCTATGCACTCCACTCCCACGCCTTGGTCGCCCCCGTGCAGGATCAACAACACGCGATACAACAGCCGTCTTTAGCTCTAGGCGGTCACACTCTCGACCATGGCGAGCTCTCGGATGTGATAGCTGCTTCGCCCTTGTTGTCGCTGCATCGTGCCATTTGTGAAGTCGAATCGATTTCGGATAACGAGGCGGCGGTGGGGAAGCTCCTTGTCTCGATTCTGGAAGCGCACAACTTTACGGTGCTTACGCAGAGTGTGCCGCCGCCATCGGCGCTGGGTTCGACGAGCAGCAGCAGCAGCACAAAGGAGAGGTTCAACATCTATGCCTACCCGGATGTTGCGCAGTATGGACGCTCCGCTGCGTCTGCGGGGGCGGAACGAAGCCTGCCAAAGGTACTCTTGACATCGCATATTGACACGGTCCCGCCGCATATCCCGTACTCGCTGTCTATCCCCAAAAAGGGTGACGACTCTGGCTTTACGACATCGTTCTCGCGCAAGGATATACTCATCTCCGGTCGCGGGACGGTCGACGACAAAGCTTGCGTGGCTGTTCAAATCCAAGCCGCGTTGGACCTGCTCGCAGACACCGCCATTTCCACGACCGTGTCCCCCTCTGACCTTGCGCTGCTGTTTGTGGTAGGCGAGGAAAACAGGGGCGACGGCATGCGCCACTTTTCCTCGTCGAAGCTCTACAAAGACACCCGCAACGACTACAAAGCAATCCTCTTCGGTGAACCCACGGAGGGCAAGCTAGCGACCGGCCACAAGGGGATTGAGATGCTCTCTCTACGCGCACGTGGTAAAGCCGCGCACAGCGGTTATCCATGGCTTGGGAGGAGTGCCAATAGTATGATCCTACCCGCACTCGTGGCTCTGGATAGATTGGGAGATACACCCGAGGAGGAGGGCGGACTGCCCAGGAGCGACAAGTACGGCAAGTCCACGGTGAATGTTGGATTCATGCAGGGAGGTGTGGCGGGCAACGTCGTCCCCGAGTTTGCCATGGCCGACGTGACCTTCAGGCTCGCAGGGGGAACTGTCCCGGACGTCCGCAGAATAGTCACGGACGCGGTGCGGAAGGCCGACCCCGAGGGCTTGTTGGAACTGCAGTTCTCTCAAGGATACGGGCCCATACCGTTGGATGCAGACGTGGATGGTTTCGAAACGATCACGGTGAACTACGGGACGGATGTGCCGAATCTGGATGTCGAGGAAGGGGTCAAGAAGTATCTCTACGGGCCGGGGAGTATTCTTGTCGCCCACGGCAGGGACGAGGGGCTTACAGTGGGGGATATGGAGGAGGCGTTGGAGGGATACAAGAGATTAGTGACGCACGCGTTGAGACTGTAACTCCCCTTGCAGAGGTCATCTGGACTCGAGGTTGAGTCTTCCAGTTTACAACGATAGAAATTGGCGTTGGAGTGAGTATCAGATCCAAATATGAGGTAGTTGGAGACACAGTGATGCCTCACTCGCAGCGGAGCCCAAGGTAATGCCAAGACTAAATGGCGCCATTCCTAATTAGGAGCCCACACATTCGGCAAACTTTCCGTCAACCTTGAATGCGAAAAGTTGTAGCCAAACTGCGCCCAGAAATCAATTTGCACACCAACGAACCCTCACTGTCTCCAGCTTATTCCTCAGTCTCGCTTTCGCCAACTCATCAGACCGTTCAAGATGGCGAAAGAACGCACTGAGAAGTCCGGCATCATTGTCGGCTTGAACAAGGGCCATGTGAGTGTTCTCTTTCCCTGGCCGTGTAGACCCAACCCCCTCCTCTTTCAGGTTGGCCTCCTCCAATCGACAAAAAAATATGGTACACCACGGATGTTTTTAACAGATGGCGAGGAGGAGGATGGTGACGAGAAGGAGGCCAAACTCGACATTTCCCCTTTCAACCCAGATCAATGCCAGCATCCGCAAACAAGCAAGGATACTAATATGTCATTTTTTCCCTCTCACAGAAAGTCACACCCATCACCAACAAGCCTCGGATCTCCCGGCGCAAGGGCGCCCTCAGCAAGCGCACCGCCTTCGTCCGCGAAATCGTCAAGGAAGTCGCCGGCCTGGCACCGTACGAGCGACGTGTCATTGAATTGTTGAGGAACAGCAAGGACAAGCGTGCGAGAAAGTTGGCCAAGAAGCGGGTACGTTTCGACCTACAATACCATCCCTGCTGCTCGCTGTATACACACAAGAAGTCTTTCTGTGGAGATACACGTCCTGCAATCCCAGCCTTGCACTGCGATTTTCGTTGTTCGCACTGTTACTGTTGGACCTGGAACTTGTGTGGAATGCAAACAGGCAACAAAATCGCAAGATCCCTAGAAAGCTAACGTTTTGTGTCATTGTATAGCTCGGTACTTTCGGCCGTGCGAAGAGAAAGGTCGACGAGCTGCAGCGTGTCATCGCCGAGGCCAGAAGAACTGGGGCCCATTAAACATCGCCAACATTTTGTATCCTGGTTCTACTATTGAGCACAAATGCTCTTTGACGACGGAGATGAGAGAGTTGTAAAGTGATGGGGAGAGGGATGAACGGAGTCGACTGTCGAGGCACAAGACCTCTCGAGGCTGGGGAAGGAGAAGACCATTGGGTGGGCGGGATGTTTGCCGATCAACCAGAGACCAAACAATTTCCGAGAGATGGGCAAAAAAAGCATTCTACGGCGCTGTTGAACACGAGGAAATCTGTTCCTTCGAGGCTGGCTGGCTGGCTGGTTGGTTGGTTGTCTGTCTGGTTGATCAGCTAGCTGACTAGCCATTCTACCGGCCGGCAAATCCAAGCCAGCGATCAAGGTCTCCCAGGGGTGCGAAACCTGTAACCTCAGCAGGTTACAGATTGAGACGACAACCTTACTTCCTCAACCTTGGCTTGATCTTTGAAGCAGAAACGAAAAATACCATGCAAAAGAAAAGAACCAAAAACCTCTTCCGCCGGCTTTCCCTGGAACCATTTTTCTTCCCACTTCTTGCGTGGCGGTTCAGAAGACAAGTTTTGTTTCGCTCGCTCTGCCCTTCCCTGCCCTTTACTACCTGCCCTGCGTAACCTGCCTACCCGTATGAAGAAGAGTTCTGCGTGCATGCGACCCTGTTTCTGCCACGAACGCACGATTCCAATTCCAGTGATCTAATGAAAATTGAAGCAGTGTGATGCAATTCAATGCAATAATGAAAATGCGTAGACTCCTCGTCGTCGTCGTGAGTGCCAGCACTCTGCCTGGCTTAGTGAGTGGCATGCCCTACAGTGTTTTCGCTCACCTACTCTTGATGGATCCGTCTGGGAGAGTCTAGAGGCCAGAGACCTACGCCTAGGGAGGCCACTGCAGTGATCAATTCCCCCTTCCCATTCCCACATTACGCTCATATCTCACATCAATCATGTCTCCTCCTCAATTACAACATCTACATGTGTAGATAGGCCAGCAGCCACTGTGATGAAAGATTCCCCCAATCACCGAATACTAACCTCGACTTCGTCCTCGTCCTCAAAGCCGACTTCTTCGACCGTGCTCTCTTTGTCGAGTCTCTCGCCGTCGAAAATCAACCACGGCGTCTTTGCTTCGTCGACTTTCCTCGTCGCCGCGAACCCGCGCATGATCTTGCCGATCGTGGTGTTCGGCCGCACCCGTAGCTGCATGGGTTCCAGGTCCTTGCTTACCAGTCGGATGACGATTGCACCTTTGTCTCTTTCTGCTACTGCTGCTGCCGCCGCCGTTCCCAAGGGAGCTCTTGCAGCTTCTGTGTCGTGCTCTCTTCCCTCCTGGTCTGCGTCGCCTCCGCCCTCGTCCTCATCTTCGCTTCCATCGGCTGAGGAAGTGAGTAGCGATCGTTGTCGTTGTCGAAGACGGTCTTTGTCGCGTAGCCTCTGGTCGTAGAGCTCGGGCGTCATGGCTTCAAGCATGATATGCCCTCCACTGGGGTCCTTGGCGCTGCTGGAGTCGTATCCAGCATCCCCGTCACCGTTCTCCTCCACATCCTCAATGCCCAGGCTTAAGCTTCGTGGTCGCTGCTGGCGGTGGTAATCCTTCTTCAATCCCCGAATGATGCCGCGCATCGTCGTCGAGTCGAACAGTCTCGTCCCTTTCCACGTGAAGAAGACTTGCCTGGCGACCGAGTCTTCGAGGTCGAATTTCCGGCACCAAAATTCCTTGACCTGTTTCAGGGATTGCGATGCCTTGCGCTTGACGATGAGGGAGTTGGTACCGGGGATCTGGGACTGGATCATGATCTTGACTTCTGGGTCATTTTCTGGTTCGGGGGGGTTGTATGTGCGTGCGGCTGACGCCTCGAAGTCTTGGACGGAGTTAGACGAAGCTGGCCGGCTGGTCCCCTGCGAACGCACACCGGCAGGTGAATTCGGATCAATATCTTCGCGGGCAATTGAGGGCTGTCGATCAGCCGGAGTGCTAGATCTCTGCATCGTTTGGCCGCCCTGACGCTGAAGTCGAGCCTTTTCGCGTGCCTTCTGCTTCAGTAGGCGTAGGTATTCATCCTCCTCGTCCGAGTCCTTTTCGGTCAACAGATCAGGTCCCGCGTTCTTGGGCTTTGCGGGGGTGAGTTTGATCAGATCGTCGTCTTCGGTCTCCTCTCCATCTCCGTCATCGAGATAAATAGTGGTACTCTTCACGGCCTTCTTGGACCGTGGAGATGGCCGTGTCTTCGGC